ACAGAGTAGTCTTTTCTGTAGAAGAGGTATAAAACAAAACCTCTACTCTCTTAAAGAAGGTTCAGATACACTCGTCTAATACGCCACACTAAAATAGTTTGTCCATATATAGTCAAACTTTCAGATCTCTTTGACTTATTTTGCTAATTTGTCATTTAAAAAATTTTTCATCTTGTATAAGGGTGAACGTAGGAAAACGTCGATAACTTTTGAAGGAATGAGATTGGGGAAAATCCCCTTTAGGGTTTTTACTATCTCAATATACTCAACTAAATGAGATATGAATAAATGAAAACGGGAGGTATCACCTCAGATGGTTCTCTTGTTAGTGCTTTACTGCCATATTTTTAATAAGTACAGACCATATGTACTTATGTACTTGAAGCTACAAACTGCAAAATTTATTCATGTTTTAACTTAGATCAAACTCGAATTTCAATTAATATCGAAGATGTCGTTGAAAGATACCGAAGATCAGTTAGACAAATGGTTGCAAAAGACAGCTGGAAGAGATGTATGGGCAAGTAAAGGATGAAACTATGAGTTATCTGTTCAACGTGTTCTCTCCTCGCTTTCTAATGTATCATGCGCTGTCGTTTTAGGCGTATGAAGAGCTTTTGGACCCGGTAGATTAGGAGGAAGATATAAAAATGTTCTGAAATCGGAAAAGATAAGAAACTGTAGAAAAACCTCTGTTCCAGCTTCTCCCTTGCTCATCCATTTCTGTCTTGCTATAACGTTTATTTGGAAGAGCAAAGCAGCAGAGAATCTGCAAGCGTCTCTTATCGACAGAGTTATCCTAGATTTTTTTCATTCAAGAGCACTACTTCTTGTCCGTATATGACTTTTTATTTCTTACAATTCTTTAGTTATTTATTATTCGCATCTGTTTTTGCTATATTTTTATTATCTATTTCAATCTTAAACGACCAAATTGAAGATAGAATCAAATAACTATTTTTATATTTTTTTCTTCATAAGATGCAGGGTGCTTTGTGGATTTTCTTTTTAATTTTTAGTTAAACAATGGTATTGATGACGGCGAAACAATGGTGCAAAAAATACTGGCTTCGCTCGATCAAGGAAATGTTTCCCCGTTATTGTACAAATTTACGTATCGAAACGAAATTTATTGGTATATTACATTTTCAAACAAAATTTTGCTCGATTTCAGTGTCGATGATAACAAAACGTCGTCTGGCTTTATGTTAACTACATTAGTAGCATTATTCTACACGTTTGTTGTACAATATCCAAAGATATACAAGGCGCTATTTGAAATATTAGAACATTTTGTGTTTAATAACACAAGAAAACCATCTACAGTTGGCGCACAAAATGTTATTGTTGAATTTAATAAAAAAATAAAAGCTGTTTAAATAATATTGGTCTTCGTCTTGACCGCAATCGTACTTTGTTCATCTACCACGCCTTTCCTGGAGTACTAATGTCTTTTCTGTAACAAGAATATTTATATTTTTAAAATATTTAAATAAATATTTTTCAGAGACTGTAGTTCGTCAGTTTGCCGTGCAGATCTTTTGTAATCCTAACCATAGATATCCTTGGCGGATAGCAGCTGGCAGCCTTCCCTCCCATATACACACAGAAAGAAGACGTAGTAAAACAATTTCCAAAAATTCAAGCCAAAAAAACTTCCAACCACAGCTGCATTCGATCTTGTCATCAAAAGTGAACAATGTGTAAATGGCATTAGGTCAAATCTATACAAGTACTAGTTTCTTTCGCTTTTCTGAAGATTATTGTGTTATGGCACATATTAAAGACGTGCCACAAGAGAGAATTGTATGATAGGTATCATACAAACGCGTTTTCCTTGGCGTAGTTTTAAGTTTTAGTCTTTTAAAACCCGCTCAAAACCTCCTCTAAAACCTTGAAAAACAGTTTTACGTAGGTTACGCGATATGCTCTTTCATATTCATGGATCAAAATTTTTTTATTGCAAATGGTTTTTCGATCCCAAAACCCAGTATTTCAAATACCGGGTCTTTAAACTGGAATTGGGCCCAAACCAATGTAATATTTGAAATCAGGACACTTGATTACCTATTGTCCACTAAATTTTGGGTCAAAAGCTTCTGGACAGTTGGGGGCCTTCCCTCGTCAGTTTTTGATCCTGATTCCGAATATGGTATTTTTATTGCTCAAAAGTTGAGTTCTGATTGAGAAAATTAAGAATTTCGAGGAATTACGGCTTTTTCGCCTCTAATTTACAAATAATAAATTTTCTCAGCAATGGAAAAGAAATTCAAAAAAAGCAATGTGTACTTCTTTTACTTGCGTAAAAAATAAATCGAACATTATATAAATCTAGCTTACTTATCTTAAGGGAGGGTTCCCCATTTAGATTTTTCTCTAACGTTCCCAGTTTGTAGAGGACACTTCGAAGTATATGCCCTGAAGTTTTTTCGGCTTACTGACATTATTTGGCTAAGAAAAAAATTAATTACTTAAACAAATTTTGTTAAATTTTTGAACAAGGGATTATTATTAAAAAATTTCTGCCCATTCTCCATTCATCACAAAAGCTTGGTTCTTGCCTAGATCGATAGAGAAATGTGTGGAGAATATTTATTACGAGAAAATATGCAAGAATTTTTGGTCTTTTCTTCCTGGTATTGACTAACTAGTACTAATTAACGTTAATTTAGCCCTAACGAGAGCTTTTTTAACATTTTCTGTTTTTGGCTTTTAAATTAAATTTTACGGTTTTTAAAATTTTAAAATTTCGTATTTTTCAATTTAAAGATCAAAAACAGAAAATTTTAAAAAAAGCTTTTGTTTGGGACTCCAAAATTCGATTCTGAACAACTTTTGAACTCAGAGTTTTGCTTCAAAATGCTTGCTTCGAGCGAAACTAGCCGTAAGGTGAGGTAAAAAATACTTTTAGCTCTGAAGTTTCCTCGGGAAGGTAAACGTTAAATTTCGGCGTTAAACTTCATTCAGCAAAGATGAAAAGGGTTTCTCCTTATACAAATTGATGTTCTCTATCGAACTAGGCTAGAATCAACTCTTCATATAAAAAAATGAGGTTTTTGTTGAAATTTAAAAAAAACCCGAAAAACACTTAAAACTTTTTTTTATCAAAAGCTATAAATCCGGGAACCGAAGCTTTGTTGGGACATATACTCCGAAGTGTCCTCCACAAACTGGCGGAAAAAAACAGGTGGGGGGATCCCCCTTAACAGAAAAAACTAGATAGACTTCCAAAATTTGTTCGCGTCCTTTAGACCCTCTCTGAACATGAGATTCCATTTTGGACACGTTATATATGATCAGGCTCCATTCCGCAAAATATATCCCGAATAATGCAATAGTTAATAATCTAATTACTCTTCTAAATCAAAATTATTACCCAAAACACTAAACTGTGTCCATGTAATAGTAACACCCGAAGATAGTAAAATTAGTCTTTAATGATGACTCTCTAAAATAATTAATCCTAAATACTCCTTTAGGCGGTCAAACGCCATCCAGTTGTATATCAACAGAAAACACAAAATCAGAATAGCATAAAAAAAAGAACTAAAAAACATTACCTCAGATAGAATAAACAAAATCATTCTCATCCTAAAAAACGTATCATTAAAACGAAAGTGGTATAAGTCCTTTCATAATCTTAATTATAATGATGGTAATAAATTTAAGAAATAAATTACTTTCTATTATTTTTTAAAGTCGAATAGAAATATTGTTATATCTGTCAACATTTTATCTAAAATAATTGAAATATCTGATACAATCATGTTTAAGTTCTTTCATATTTTCCAGTCCACCAATAGTCATATTTGGTCGTCTAGCATTATATTTCATTGACCACGGTATGCCAAAATCAAGCAAACCCGTACCTCTACCAATCGTGTAAGAACGAATATGTTTTCGATACAAGTGTCCAGATATATAAACATCGTCATGAAGATAACATGAACTCGGTGCGTCCGTATAATCAAAGATTGTATCGTCTATATCTTGACGACGGTAAATTACACCGCTGAATGCTGCTAAAAGACCATAACATTTTCCACGTGTCGATCGCCAAGTCCAAATTTTACTTTGAGGATTATATGTTTCGCATAGAAATGCCGCAGTTAAATTTGATGGTAAATTGAGTACAGTGCCGATAAGATAAGCGAACATTGAACGATGATATGTACAATCGTCATCAATGGTAATGATAAGTGAATCTGGATCTTTTTCAACATTTAATACACCTAAATGAAGGTAGATGTGATTGTTATTCCGTTAAGAAAAACATACAATCGACTGTTTTTCGAACAGCTCAAAAACAAAGGTTGAATATTCGAGTTTCCATCATTTTACAAGAGACTTTGAGGCATCTTCTTACCAGTAAAAACATCTTCAAACAACATTCTAAAAGAGATCTTTGGAAAGTAAGGGCAGATCTTAAAAGTTTGAAATAAAAATCTACTAGTTTGGTTTTCGTCGGTACTCGGCACAAAATAGTCTCTTAAAAATAGAATGCTTTGACCATATCATCGATCAGCATGGCATCGGCTTTCCTTCTTCGAAATGACGATGTACGACGAAATGACGAACATTTAGCAAACAAATCGACATGCTCTGTCTTCCAATGTCAGTATATAAAACTATACTTCAAAATAGATTCCCAATAGAAGTTTTCTTCAAACTGTTAAGGATCATGAGAAAATACTAACGATCGTAACCCTGAAAGATTGGGATGCGATAAAATACATTTTCCATTAAACCCAACCAAGTCCAAAACAAACGCAACATTCTGAATCTCGCCTCTTTTTTGGCTAAGCTAACGAAAATATTTCTCACTTTGGACTTACGAGGGACCTTTTCAACCGTCTAATCGCTCTCTGGTCGAAACCCAGTAGGTTATAGGTTTTCGAACGTGCTGAATTCCGAATATCAACACGAGACGGACCCTTAGGCCTTCGAAGACCGGTTTTTCAGAAACTCCAAAAAGTCTCCGAAACTTTTTCTTAATAAGTCGATTACGAACGAATAAGTTATTACGAACTGGCTTACCGTTGGACTAACAACAGGGGACAAAACTTGACCGCAATAGAAGACCATCCTTTAGAATTCAACTTGCCAGACCAAATAGTGACCTATTATGGGCAGGTGGTTGGCTAACTCAGTTTCTGTTGACGTGTGATCAGTGGGAGGAGTTGCCAGAATTTTGCAGAGCTTCAGACCTGGCCAAAATGTTCGTCTCTAGGCAGCAATATCTATAGTGCATACAATTCTTTATGGCAGGATTAATAACTAAATAATCCCACTTTTTCCGATAATATCTATGTGGCTAAGTATAGGAACACTTTTAAGAAGAAATGAGACAATATTCGGATCAGACCATCGAGTTCCATCGAATAGTATGTAACATAATAAGTGTTACATCAGAGAACTATTCATCGAAACTTTTAACCTACACTGATGAACCTTTACGATTTTGATCCAATGATAATTAATTGTGAAAATACTGTTAACCATAATGATGTTCGCCTGTTATTAGAAAAATGGTCACTGTACTGAGGGAACCTACACGAAGAGTAGCCCGTATAATATTGCATTTACTACCAATACCTAATAGCTTTGTACTTGGCCCATAATCCTTTTCTCTAAGTATTTTAAGTTTTGGATAGTACTGTATGAGTAGTAAATTAACATTTTGTGGGATTTGTGCATATGTGGTATTAAAGCGTTTGATTGTTTTGGGAATGTTTAAATAGACAATGTCAGGCTTGTATGACTGAAGAAATACAGAGTGTATAGTAACATCTATGAGCGACAGACGCGATCCGAATGATGACAGTGATACAACAACACGTGGAATATGTAATGGTTTTCGAGTTTTGGTAATATCTTGAACGTAAGAATCACCAAACGATGTGAATAATGGTATAAAAAATTCTAGATAAACGGTGCTATATAATTCGTATTTGAAATAAATACATATAGATAAAGCACTGAATAATAAAACAACAAGAATGGAACGTTTACACCCAGACATTCGTTCAGATCTAAAGTAAAGTAGGGAGAAACAGTGCTACCTGGTGCATTACGAGAGAAAAATACAATCAAGTTTACACAATCGTTATATCTTTGAAAAAGTTGATTAAGATTCTTATTAAAAAACGGAAGTGAAATGTGAGTTATTTCTAGATGTCAGAAAGTAATTCTTTTTAGAAAGTAGAAACTTTTTGATTTTGTATTTTTACGATGAAACTGCCTCTTCCCAAGCACGAAAAAAGCAGCTAACATGGCTCGATGCATCTAGCTACATACGAAAAAGACAAAAGTTGAATCGAGTATCGCTCGGTGCAGCTAGATGTGGAAGATAAAATGCTAGATGCATCGATCAAAAGATTTAGACAACAAAAGTATTGCTAAAACTGATAGGATTCTTATCCGAATCAGTTTCTTATATAATTTGTTTAAGATTTCCTATCGAAGTCGTAAATATCTTATAAGAATTCGATAAGATTTTCAAAAGAGGTTCGTAAGAAAAATATAAGAAGTACCAAAAATTCTTATGTTATTAATATCTACTGGAAGGCATCTTATGGATCGGCTTTTACGATTTCTGTTATGATTAACTTACTTCTACTTGCTCTCAAATCTTTTCGGGCTTGTACGTGACCATAACAGTCATTTATTCTGACGACATTTTTAAAAATATAAAGATTTTACTAGGATGTATTAACTGGTTAATCGAGCAACATTGTACGTAACTTACATTCCTATCTAAAATCAGTTGATATAATGACATAAAGATAGTAAGCACTTATGACCTAACGGTTATATAATATATCGGGCAGCCGAATGGAAAATTACGAGTTCGATCCTCATTAAGTGCGATTTATCTTTTTACGAACCTCGTATGAAAATCTTATCGGATTCTTATAAGACATTTAGGACTGTCGATGGGATATCTTAAACAATCTTCTATACGAAACTGGTAAGATTCTGAAAAGAATTTTGTAAGATATTGATAAGAGACTTATGCGTCTTGATACCCACGTCTTGCAGAAGATTAATATCACTAATATCATAGTTTCAGCTCTTATTAACATGAGACCCTCCATAGATCCCCAGAGGTCTAAAAAGATTATGTGAATTGAAGACTCACGCCTCTCTTCAGTCCAGTGTTTTTAATGATTAGTGGGTCTCGCTTGAATAAAATGGGTTTCCACTTTGAAAATTCGATTTCCACTTTGTTTTTAGCAGAGAAAACATGGAAAATGCAGTGGTAAACTGTGGAAACCCACTTTGCTTAAAATTCCTATTAAAAATACCGCTTCAGTCGCCGTTCGCACAGAGGATACCTGAGAAATGTTGTGAACTTCTCGGCTTCTATGGAAAAAAACCAAATGTAATAAAAAACTAAAACATTTTCTGGACATCCTCTGAAGATCCCACGTGAACTGGAACTATTCCTAATCCATTCGCTATGATAGACTATCTATATGAGGCAGTGCACGATAGAAACGCACTTTTCCAGCATAGCGTGCTCAATGACCTGTCACAGATTTTTCCTGAACATTTTTGTCTCTTGACATTTTTTTCCAAAATGCTTTCCCTCGACGCTAGAGCGAAAACACTGGGGAGCCTCTTGTCAAAAACGGTCGGCGCACCTCGGAAAAACCTGAAAATTTTTCTTTCAAAATCCATTGAATTATATGCCATTCAACGCAGAATTTTATTCTGCATCTGAATATGTATCAAGAAAGATTCCACAGTATATAGAAAAGGAGAATAATGCCAAAAACTTCGAATTTTCTAAGGTTTTCCACCTTTTGCTGGACCAAAATACTTTTTTATTCAAAATAGGCTTTCTTATACTTCATCCGACGCACAATTCAGTGCTGATTTCGAATATCTATGTTACAGAGCTTCAAGATCAACAGACATGACAGGAAACTCGATTTATCTAAGGTTTTTTTAGATTCAGCTGCAGTAAAAACTTATTTTAAGTCAAAGTTATCACATATTACACTTCATTTGATGCAGAATTGATTGCTGAATACGAATATCATAGTTTCAGCTCTCTACAGTGCACATAAATCAATGAACAGCGGCAAAAATCTCAGATTTGTGCAGATTTTTGGCTTTTAGCTGTGCTAAAAGGTATTTTCAGCTGGAAGAGCCGCCTGTCTTGCACTAACTTCGCACTATCCCCGCTGACCTCAAAATTTTGGCTATGCCCGCGTTATATAAAAAAGTGGCGCATGGCACTTGATCTTGTCTATAAACTTCAACGCGCTGTTGTATTTCATAGAAGCCGTTTACACTGGAAAAGTTTCAGAACAGCTAGTTTAAAAGTTTCTAAGCTATGCATGTGATGAAAGGTGCGTTTAATCTTCAAAAAGAAAGTTTCTCATTTTCATTTTGTCATTAAAAATATTTTTTTGTGAAAGAGAGGAGAGAAGAATATATTTATTCTTCCCACGGACTTCTCGTCCTGTTCTCTTCTTTGGGAATTTCTCTTATTGTGTGTGTCTATCGTTATTTTTTATTAGTTATCTATGTCTCTCTTTCGCATAGTTCATGACCTCTTGGCTCGCTCCACTGATTTTCTAACTTTCATTGTACATTTTCCTAAACTCTTTATAACCTCTTGTTCTCTCTTTCTATACGGTTCACTGCTTCTTCCTAGTTTCACGTTTGTACAGTTACATTATGGTCAGTGTGTGTGAGAAATAAACTCGGAAACAGTCAATTTCCGTTACACGGTGATATTGTTCAAACAACATGTATGGATCGGAAACTGCTGTTCGAGATGGGGAGATAGCCGAGACGGAGCTAAACAATTCATCAACTGTACAACAATCACAAAGTGATATTCAAGAATTAAGAGCTGTGCTGACAGTACAAGGATGCATTGCCTCATATCCTGTAAGCTTTATTGTCTGTAGATGACTTTTTTGTTTTATCAAAATTGACTGATTTCAGGCGACATATCACCGAATTACAAAAAAAAAGGTCTGCTTATCTTTTTAGCTCTCTGAATCAGTAGATATTTCAGCCGTCTCTCTGACTATTTTCTCTCTCTTGGTTAAAAAAGAATTTCTATTTTCCTCTCTTTGGATTGACTTAACCACGGAATATCTGAGAAGCCATTTTTGCGTATTTTGGGCACAGACACACAGACAGACACCCATTTTCTAAGACCCTAGGGTACAGTCAGGGAAATAAATACTTGCACTAAAAAAACGTTGAAAACTTTTAAAGTGAAATTCAAACATTGTGTTTGAATGTATGGTTACTCATGTGCGTTCAACAGCTGTGGTACC